ATCGCACTTACCGTTTACTTATAAATGCTTATTAACGTATGTGCCCTACTTACGCTGTTCTAACTACTAATCTGTTTTTATGAAAGTTCCATTCCTTGGTTTCCTTGGTAACCTTTGTTTGCTATCAGCTGATGTTTCAATTCAATTTATTCTTTTTTTCATTTTTTTTCTTTTTTTTTTTAATAAATCATTGCTAGGTTGGTTCTATTTTTTTTTGCCAGCGGCTGTAGATTGTTGTTATTTCAACCAATAAAAAAAAAAAAAATCTACATCCCCACCCCCCAGCACATTTTTCTGTTGGCTCCATCACCCTCTCCCCTCAACTCATTTTTCTATCGATTTTATCATTTTTTTTATGGCATGTCTTGCTCCACTACCACCATTTTTTCGGGGTTATAGATATTTTAGCGGCCTCTAGACCCGTGACTCCAGTCACGGGCATTTCGCTAGTAAAGAATATTAAGTAGAATTTTGAGTGAAATGAATGCATTCACTTTCTTTACAACGAATAAATATTAGATGAGTCTGAAACCGATAGGTACCCTTTTACGCATCCAGTGCCTCAATTCTCGTCTCACTGAGCGTTGAGTTTCATTTCAAAAATTTCGATTGGTGAATAAAAAAATCAATTCAGCTGCAAAAACGTGTGGAATAATCGATTCAATTTAATCGATTATTTTGCGCAAAAAAAAAATAGATTCAATTTTATCGATTATTTTGTGGGAAAAAAATCGTTATCTTCAGTAAATGGAAAAATCAACAACAAAACACTAATCGGAATCAAGATAGGTGAAGAAATAATTCACCGAACAGCCACAAAAAAATGAATTCTGTGAGTAAAGGAAAATTGGTTTTTTAAATTTTAAATTATTTAGATGAGGGATGAAGAGAAAGGGAATTCGGAAGGAAGCGTAGCCATCATTCATTCACAATTTTCTAGAAACCGAGTATCTCTCTCTCTCTCTCTCAGAAAAAAATCAACTGTTTAACTGATCAAGGAGGAAATAAAATAAATATTTTCTACACTCGTTCTTACTTTGAATTTGATGTGAGTCGGGACACGGCTTATCTTCTTTTTTCCTGAATGGGCAGCGTCGATGTTTTTTGGTTTTTTGATATTTACACTATTTACAAACTAAGGCACTTTCCCGAGCGTCCTTACCAGAACGAGTCACAAACCCCATACAGTCAAACAAACATGACTTCCTGATCCCCGGGCACAAATTGCAAGTCAAAACGCAAAAACGGACCACTCTCCCGCCCACAATGACACGGATCTGCCTCGCCACACTCGACCCCTTTAAGGTGATTCGATGGACGCCATATTTTGTGTCAGAACGGCATGCGATAGATCGCATCAATTGATTCCATTTTTTCAGCTACTCGTCATTTTTCTCCAATTTTGAGATCGCAATTCTGTTGTTAGGAGATTAAAGCACTCACTTACCAATTTTAACAAAGAAATTCAACGTGATGAAGGCGTGGTTTTTTCAGAGAGAAAATATCGCATTCGAGTGCAGTTTTGATATCAGTATCGAATGCAATGTTTTCTCTCTAAAAAAACCACGCTTTTATTCCGCTGAATTTCTTTGTTAAAATTGGTAAGTGAGTGCTTTAGTCTCCTGACAACAGAATTGCGATCTCAAAACTGGAGAAAAATGACGAGTAGCTGAAAAAATGGAACCAATTGATGCGATATATCGCATGCCGTTCTGACACAAAATATGGCGTCCATCGAATCACCTTAAAGGGGTCGAGTGTGGCGAGGCAGATCCGTGTCATTGTGGGCGGGAGAGTGGTCCGTTTTTGCGTTTTGACTTAAAATTCGCGCTCGGGGATCAGATAGTCATGTTTGTTTGGCTGTACGGGGTTAGCTGAAAAAATGGAACCAATTGATGCGATATATCGCATGCCGTTCTGACACAAAATATGGCGTCCATCGAATCACCTCAATTACGCCACCTAGTCGGGCCGCACACGCCGTTTCCAAATTCCGACCGAAATGAGGGACTCGGTCCTGTCGAAAAAAAATTTTACAATCCTCGGCGCGAAGCCTGAGATAAAAGTCCTGCGGATCCACACTACTCAGCGACAGACGGAGGAGGTCCTCCACATCGAAGAAGCCACGACCATACCCATAAACAAAGGAACACATTTTTAAAGTAAAAAATACAAAAAACGACTAACACACTTGCTGCGATAAATGTCCGCACGAATTTCACGAGACGAAAACATGAAACACGGCGACGACTTCTCGTAAACTAAGGACTCCGAAAAGTCGGAATCTTGAGGTAAAACCTCAACGTTGTAACGGGGCGGGTCCAATCAGAATCATCTACGGGAGCAAATACGCCATTCTGTAAAAATGCAGGGTTCTGATTGGCTTCGTGGACTCCACCCCTATTTAGAGGTAAGGGATCTGATTGACCACTTGGACTCCACCCCAAATATTGGGACGGTGGGCACGGTGGCAGCGGAGGCGACCGGCGTTGCACCTGGCGAAAGTGATTAATAACGACGGTGTGCTAAGCCGACAGGAAACCCAATGTTTTTGTGCGGTTCCCGTGCACAATAGCAGCCTTACAACGCGAAGGCTAGTCGCATCCTAGCGACAGGAAATCCAATATTTGTTTTTGCGAGCTCCCCGTGAACAATAGGGGCTATGCAGCGCGAATGACAAAAGATTTCCTCTGAGAAATCTCTCTAGAGTCGAGTCTTTTTTAAATCCAATTAGAATGAGATGCGAATGATAGGTGACATCCCATGATGAATCGACGACTGACTCCCGGAGCCCGAGATTCGTCCCGCTGGATTAGGAGACTTCCCCCGGTGAATAAAGGGACGTAACAAAGGGGTGACGCAACGCAATCGATGGGTCGATATATCGCTCGATTACTCGATCTGTCGCAGGCCCGGGCTCGAGCCTGGGCGAATCGGCCCTGTATGTAAAATGAAAATCCTATGTTCCTGTGTTAAATTTTGGCTTGACATCCCATAAAAAACGATGTATTTTTAGCCCCATAAGGACCGTGTAATTTGTGAGGTAAAATGCCTACTTCCCTACTACTACTACTGATCACTTGGTCTTGTATTGTGAGAGCAAATCTTTCTGTTTCTGGGTACAGTTCCCCTTTCGACAGCCACACGAAAGACTTTCCTTCACTAACATGATCCTGCGCAACTGAATTATAAAAGCGACCATGCAACGGCTTGGAGGCCCAAGCTTCTAACCGGCCAGCAACTGGGTCTGAGGGTTGTTCTTCATCCAGGTCGTGACAGGCGAGGCGCAAAGGCGTGTATGATTTGTCTATGGCATTTACTGCAGCGTGCAAAGGGCTGTCGTTTCTACTGAGGAGGTAATTTTCCTGGCTACGAACTTGGCTGCTTGCGGGGGATGTGTATTTTCTCCTTCGCGGCTCTTGGGTGATGCTTATTCCACTTGGTAACACTGGATAAAAAATACATTGGATCTAGAGTCTAGCCTCTTAAAAACATCGACAAGAAAAAATACTCTTGATTCAATCAGATTTAAGCTTATATCAAGAACCAAGCCTCTTAATTTGAGCGGATTTCCTTTTGATTTAAGCTTAAATCTGATTGAATCGAGAGTCCTCTTTCTTGTCCATGTTTCCAATATTCTGGACTCTCGATCCAATGTGTTTTTTTCCAGTGCAGCAAGGTTCTGACTCTTCTATTAAGCCCCGCTGTGATTAGCGATTCTGTTCCTCCTCTTAAGCACTTATCATTCGGTCATTTCCAGGTCAGCTGGTTATAGCGATATTGAGATGAATTACGTGCAACTTCTAATAATTTTTCGAAATCGCTGGAAAAATCTCGTTTTTGCCGCGATGTTGCGACGATTATCCTATGATTTCTCCTTCTTTTTTACAAGATCGCTGGAAAAATTAGAGCATTTCTGGCCATAATCGAAGCAGAAATCGAGCTAGCAACTACTCGAACTCCAGAGTAGGTATGTGGTGTCACGCGAAATTGAAGGCTAATCTTAGCTTTTCGCATATCCCAAGTAACAATGAGGTCGAAGTTTTGGATCCACTGCTTGTTTTAGTAGTTTTAGTACTTTTGCCTTGTAGCAGTTAGTTGCATGACATGGTTGATGCGGTCTGGGTATGCTGTCATTAGCGATTCCATCGCTCCCTTCAATTTACTATTTTTCAGTCATTTCTAGGTCAGCAGTTTATCGACTAGTTCTTTCTTGGTTTCTGAGAGGTGCTAGTCGTTCATGTTCTTCAATTTCCACTTATTTTTTATCTCTTTCTGTTTCCTGACTTTAGTTGTTTGTTTTGCTCGTTTCACCCTTTCAGTCTCACTTTTACTGTGGTTCGTGTTTTTCATTGGCTCTTCCTGCGGCAGTGCCAGACAAATTTTTTCAATTTTTGCTGTATCATGTTCGTAGATTCGTCGCTTGTAATATTTCGTCGCTTTTGACTTTGAGGCAATTGGCTGTTCCAATGTCATTAACTTACGAGACGGATGCAATGTCTGTGCACCCTCCTCCACCCACTTTTTCCAGATGTAAAGCCTATTACAATCTGCTCTGGGATGCAGCAATGATTTTCCTTCAATTCCGGGAGATGCCACTGTTTTGCCACGCGAATTTTCTATCTAAATATCACGAGATGTTCGCAATATTTCCAGTGGATTCGTAAAATCAAGGGATTGCACCCCTTTCTTAAATTAATGACATTGAAACAGCCAATTACCTCAAAATCAAAAAGCGACGAAATACTTGCCGGTCGAATCTGCGAACATGATAAAGCAAAAATTGAGCACCGATCCGCCGCTCGGTGGGCCTGCACGGAGCTGTAATTTTAAAAAAGCAGTGAATTTTTTGGAAGTATCTGTAATTTCTGAATTTAGCGACCTTCAAGAATCCCTTTGTGCTTTTGCGGTGAAATCGATGCACCAGAACATGCCTTTTTTATTTTGTATATTAGTTAAGACAAATTTAGATAAGCTAGGAAAAGAGTTAAAACAGAAGATAGATAAGAATAATATATTAGATGTAATGCTTAGGAAAAAGAAAAATTACACACACATTAGATACTAAGAACAAATTCTATGAGGAAAAAACTAATATTGTAAATAAAGTTAATAATTCTCATCCCGATGTAATACCTGCAGGTGGTTCTGGGGCACCTCCACAACATTAAATTTAGATTTACTAGTTGAAATACAGATAATTTTATATGCGCAAATGTTAGAGCCATTAGTTTAATACTAGAATACCTAAACTATTAATCTTGATATTAATGTTACTATAACGGGGCGATAGCTATGTCTACGGACAGATTCCGTCCCATTCTTTGTATATTTGTTTTGTAATATATATTGAATGAAGATAGAAGGGGAATGTCCCGGATATTAAAAAAAAAAAATCCCTACAAACTTATTTTGCAAGGTTTGATCATTCAATCCGTTTTAATAACACCCAAATCTGGCTTTGGAACCATAGTTTGACGCGCGAAAATCAGTCGGCGCGCGTATAACTTCAATTGCTCATAACTCCGGAACCGTTTGGTTCCCCAGCTTAATGGACCACTCGTTGGCTACGGATAAAGACGAACGATTTAGAAAACTGGGTTTGGTTCAAATAAAAAATTGAGATCTTTGTGCATCCTTTGTTTAAAAGAAATTTACTAGACGCAAAAACTGAAAAACAGCACATATATGCCCACTTGGAAATGTGATTTCGGGATTTTGATCTTTAGAATCTTAAAGTATGCAACTTTAGACGATTTTTTGTCCAGACCGGACCTCAATAATCAATATCTTTCTTTTTTCGAGAGATATCGAGGTTCTCAGTTTAAAAACTCGGTTTAAAAATCTAAATGTATCATAATTTTACTTACACTTTTGGAAATTCTACATATAAAGACATTAATGACTTTAGCAGCTAAATGTCTATCAACAATAATAACTAATTGACTAATACTTAAATGTGTAAAATGTTAAATAACTAGATACAAGTCACACAGAATTATATTATTGCATCTACATATTGTAGTAAAATTTGAGGTATTTTCCTGGACTTCGACGTAAATATCTATAGCTGCCGATTGTCTTATTAAATTATCTAACGAACTAGTCACAAGTTATTATATCTAAAAAAATCCAAGTAAACATTGCTTGAGAATACTCCCGGCAAGATTGCACCACGCCCATCCGTTGCAGGGTGGGTAGGTACGTTACGTCTTCATATTTCTGTTAATCGTTACTTTTGATGTAGCACCAAACGTTTGGCCTCTATTTCTTGGAGATCCCATTGATGATCCAGAAGATGACCGAGATAACGTTTGTGGCGATTTTCTGGAAAAGCACTCGAAACGCATGTCAGATACCGCTTTTTCACACGGCGTGTAACGAACCGCCAGATCATCAATTTTTACAGAATATTTGCCAGCTCCGTTGTCTTCCAATATTGATTCAAAATGAAGCTGAAAATTTGAAATCAGATTTTAAGTTTAATGACGCAGGTTCATACCCTAGTATTTCATGGCTAAACCTTTAGATGCACAAGTTGGGTCATATTAACCCGAAATATTCTAAAAACACGTACTCCGCAAGTTGTATGGGGCCAGTACATATGACCGTTAGATATATGAACTACATTTTGCGATTTGGAACTATAAATTCTAGCCCGATTTAAAAAAAAAAACGTATGTGCCATTAGTTTCCCTATGCACATAAGTGTTTTTCAAGAACAGCCAGAATCTATAGTTCCAAACTGCAAAATGCAGTCCATATTTAAGTCTACGGACGAATATATTGTAAAAGAAGAATCGGATCAAATTGAAAAGAAAAACGAGAAAAATCTAGTGGTTCGAAATTTTGTTTTGACAACTACCCTTAGATATCCCAATTTAGGTTGAATTGACCCTACTATCTGTTCTGGGGAAGTTATGTGGGCAATAATGACAAGTTTTAGTTAAAAGTTATACGATTACACCCTGAAAAAGAATCAGACGTCAGATTGAAAAAAAAAAAAAAAATTGATTGTAAACACAGCCGAAGATAGGTGAGACGTTATCGGACCTCGTTTTTTCACTTTCCTACCGAATCTGAGCGACAATTCATCGGCAGAAGAGAGCAGAGCATTGCGAGTTAACATCCGTTCCCATGGCGCCTTCAATTTTTCAGATGCAGCGCGGACATCCATCAAGCACGAATAGTTGTATCTCTGCGCCGTCATCAATGCGCGTCCTTTCCTTTGCTCTATTTCCAGGATGCGTTGGTTTAGTTTGTTTTATTTGAAAAGGTGCTTTAAGGGCTACGCGAGCAACATGGCCGAAGATAGAAGAGACGTTCTATAGATAGACGTTATATAGATTGATCCGCCATTTAAGCCTCCGGATTAGGATCACTAAACAGGGTTTTCGCAACGAACACCTTAATAATCGATTCTTTACCACAGATTCCAATGGTAAAATATCCATATATCGCAAAGCACGCCACGCCACTGACGTACTGCCGTGATAGCGAAGTGAGCAGTAAATGCAAAAATGAAGTTTTGAGAAAACGGGCTCCGAAACGTCCGACCGGAAAATATCATCCGTAAGACTCCTAGAAATCGCTTTGATAATTACAAATTGACCAATAATATTTCAATTACATAAAAAGGGTATTTTTCATTCAAGGCTGGTATTAGGCAAAACAGCCGTAAGTGCTATCTTCTGCATGTTTTTTTGGTTGCGTTTTGGACCCACAACAAACGCATTTTCAGATTAGAGATTGGCAGAGGAGAGCGGCACACTACCTGAAAACACTAGCTGTTTTCATTGGCTCTCTGGAGGAATAATGTCACCTACAAATGCTGTATTGCCTGGAACTAAATCATTTTTTGCGCACTTGCGGCTTTCTCATATGTCTCGGTTTCACACAATTAAGATGCATTTTGCTGTTTTAGCTATTTCAATGATTTCATCTAAAAGGGACTAGACGGATTTTTAAGGAAACTCAATTTCGAAAATTTGACACTTACTGCTCTCTTCGCTATTACGGCAGCCTACTCGGGCCTCGTTTTTTAACTTTTCTGCCGAATCTGAGTGACTTCTAATCGGCAGCATAGAGCGGAGCACTACAAGCTCACGCCTCGCCAAAGAATCGATTGTTTCACATACATTTAAACGGAGCGTGTATCAGTGTTGCGAACGATCAAAAATCGCCACCGATTAAAGTGCAGCAGTGCATCGCTTAAAAAAACTCACCAAGAATGGACTTTGGACGTTCACAGGGACAGATGCTCGGATCCAGCGATTATTACGAAACTCTTCCAGTCTTCTGGTGTCCGTACTCCATATTTCCACCCCGGGCGAGGACGTTTCGGTGAACATGAAGGCATCTAGAGGCGAATGCAGGCTCCTCATCATCAACTGATGTAACACAACAAAAGGAATCGAAGGATGAACAAGATGACACTTAATCTCTTGAACTGAAGCATGTGGGTCATTGTAGAGTCCCTTTATACCCAGAGTTAAGACAACTCGATTATCAGCTGACTGGCAGCCGGCCTTGGCTGGCCATGGAGGCCGAAACGAGTGCACCCAAACGAACGATATTGAGGGATAAGGATCAGGAATCCTGCGATGTCTGTCACACAAAAACAACAACATCAACAAAGTGATCAATTAAAAAGAAAATGAGATTGGTTTGTGAATAATTTCTTAATCTATTTTCATTTTGGACCGATGGAAATAACACTTTACTCTTGATAAACCACAATTAGGTAATATTTTCATTATTCTTGTTCACATTCGAGGTACCGCCATCTTGGTGCACTCGTTTCGGCCTCCATGAGCGAGAACCAATCAGAATTGGATTTTTTTTTAGGCCACTTTCAGCCCAATCCTGGCTCAACCAAAAGTGAGTTGTCTTAACTCTGGGTATAAAGGGACTCTAGGTCATTGCACGTCAAGACACGGGGTCTGGTACACGACAATAACCATAAAATTGGCTCGATTTCGATGTAAAGTGTCTCTCCATCATTCTAAGAGACTAATTTGAAGGATCCTCTCCATCCCTCTCCCCTCCTCTCCCCCTCCCCCCACCCGACACTGCGTCCACGAGGGGGACGGACCGACCTTTGAAAACTGTGATGAATTCGAGAGATATTCGAAAAAGCCTGCTTCGACGATTTCTGGACTTCCCACAGTGGCAGTCAGTGGTGGTTCCCACCATTTCTCAAATAAGAGTTTCTAGAGCAATTTTTCATATGAAATGTAATGTGTAGAATAATACATAAATATGTAGTTAAAATGGGGCCATCAATGAAATGACTTTTTTCAAAATAAATTTTCGCCATCCCTAAATATTTAAACTGAAATCTCCCAGAAGTTGTATCTCCGAATTCGATTTTTTTTTCTCTAGATCACGCTAATGATACAAACTTTTGAGTTCTATGTTTTTTATTTTTTATAGCTATAGTAAACGGCTAAGGGCGTTAAGACGGGAAAGTAAGCCAAAAACAATCACAAGGGTGATTTCACGATAAAAGGAATAGTCGTGTCGCCGTGGGTTTTAAACGACCTACAGCAAAACGATTGAAAACCAAGTTGATAAATCAATAGAAATGATGTTCCTGGACTTAACCATGCTAAAAAGTATGATATATTATGATTGTTTTTAATAATATGAGACTTTAAAGGCCGAAATTGTCCGGTCGGTTACGCGTCGCCAACCCCGATTTCGAAGCAAAAGAGCAAGTTGCGGTAATAAATTAGTACTGTTCATGGATTCCTTGGCAATGTTTGCCGAAAAGAGACTCTAATGTGTTCAAGGTGTTGCACATTCCTGTTAGCTACTCCTGTTATCGTGGAATCGCGCACAGATTGATGAAGGAAAGTAACTTTTCACATGTTTAGCGAGGACTCTCCACAACGGTTTCTCTTGTTTCTAATTTGATTTCCGAGATCAACCTAAAATTTTAAGTAAGTGACACCTTATGCATATCAATTTGTTACAGGGGCCCAAGAAAAATCGAAATAGGTCAAAAATACTGAAAGTTGATGAATATTAAAAACATAAAAATTACCCTACAACCGCTCATTAAAAGGCAATTTAGTGTGATTACGAACCCTTATTGTGTGAAGTCCTTTATAATTCTTCCTCAGCATGTATTTGAAAGTAACACATCCTTCTGGACCACGCTTTGTATCTAGAGGGCTCAATCCGTAATAACCGACACTCCATGTGCGATCCTCCATCCTGTCATTGCATTCTTTTTTAGCCACGATGTAGTACCAATTCAGGATTCCCCCTATCGGCAAAATGACCCTGGTACAATGTTGGTAGCGCTTCGAGACAATCATGTCACTAAGCTTATCACATGCTTGATATGCAAGCTTTGGACAAGCACTAAAGGACCTAGGCTGGGAGATTGAACAGCCAAGATTATCCAAAGCTTGGAGAACCAACATTGTGACATGTTTGCTTTATCAAGGTCAGGCCATTTTCGAGCAACAACTGCTAAGCTTGTCAAAAGCTTGCCTGAATGGCGGACGGGCCTTGAAGAAGCAAGCTGGATCCGAGCTTGCTTTTTCAATTTCTCTGCCTAGGTCCTCTAATGCTTGTTCAAAGTTTGGTTTAAGATTGTTGCAAGGTTGCTTTTACCTATCTACAAGTACACTAAAGGCATTGACGTTCTAAAGCGAATTCCTTCCAGACCATCTTCGTCGGGGGCCCGTTATATACGTGGTACTAAACTTACCTTATTTACATTCGCAATACATGAAACCTTACGTTCCGCCATATCTTATTCCAAGCATCATCGTGCTAGAATAAATATTCTCACCAGGGCAAGGCTGGAGCTCAGCTGAACACAACCTTCGCCAAAAAATCGGGGAAGTGTATTTCAAATAAGAAAATACTGGAAAGTAGAGGACTTTCCGGTCTGTACTTTTGCAATATGCTTGAAACACATCTGCACTGTACATACCTACATATGTAATATCAGATGTTACAAAAAAGCGAAACAAGTTGCAGAATATTGCCTGAAATTGGGATTAAAGAGAAGTCGAGCGTCAGCGCACCCTGGTGGCTGATCTGCGTACTACACTTTGCGCTAGTCCATGGTTGGTGCATGATTGGTTTGTCAAGGTTTGGTCCTTTGGTCCTTTGGACTCAACGAACTACACCTCTAGAATGGCCGCGAGATAGCAAACCTGCGTAACGCGCATGGGCCGGTTTTTGAAGGCAGGAGGGGGGTGGGAGCCCAAGTATAGCTAACCTCAATCTCCGTTTCTGCTGCGTCTTGCCCATAAGGATTACATGTGAAAATTTCAACCTTTGTAAACTTTCATTTTTTTGAGGTTTTCTTTCAAAGTTCCTAATTTTTGAGTAAAGAAAACCTTTTGGGGTGCGATTGTTCAGCAATCTTTTCATTGCTATCACTTTATTCAACAATATTCGGTAAAATGTGGGCAGCGTCTGACATGGGTTTAGATGGCAGCCTGCTGTGTGAGCCCAAGTAAACCTAACCTATATCAACTTCAAAACGTTCCGGGTCTCTAACACTGGTCAGCCATTCTAGAGGTGATTGGACTCCATGCTGGTTGCTGAAATTATCACTTCTTCGCTTGAACATGGAGTCCAATATTAAGGAAACCTCCCTTCGTTCTGGTGTCCATCCAATATGCTTCATCGTAATAGAAAGTCACATCCTTTTCTAATCTAATCTAGTTTTAGTTGACCTAACCTAAACCTAACCTGATCAAAGAAAACTTTTCTACGATAACTTATTTTTCTTATTTTTTTTTTGGCAAAAATTGTCGTGATAATTTTTTGGACGTTATGCTCTTCTAATGTCAGAGGATATCTGCATCCCACGATTTTGGACGCTATGCTCACTTTGATTTTTCAAAAAAATTATCCATCATTTAAGTGAGCATGGAGTCTAAGATCTTGCACTGAGAAAAAATTATGGTTATAATTACCATCTTAGTGGTGTTCAATATGCACTCTTAATTAGTAGTGGCCATAACCAATAATATCAAAATCAGCGAACATAGTAATACACTGTCTGAAAAGTAGTAGCACTGAATATATTGGTATTTGGGGTGTAGTTGAGTGCTAGAAATAATGTAAAATTTTCTTTAGAAAACTTACATTTTATTAACAAACTTTGACCGAAGCTTGTCGAAGCAAACGCTTCATCGTCAGGGTCACAAAATCGATATCACAAAGGCCATAATTTAACTTCAAACAAGGTAACAAATTTCAGTGGTAACAATTGATAACAAGCTATTAGATCAAAACACTCCAATGATAGTGATATTTTTACTGGAGCAATCGTAATTTTACAAGTGTTCGGTAGTAAAATTACCATTTAATGGCAAAAATATCTCTATCATTGGTTATGGCAACTACTAATTAAGAGTTCATATTGAACACCACTAATATGGTAATTATAATCATAATTTTTTCTCTGTGTGGAAGTGATGAGCAGCCTAGCATTATATAGGTGAGCATGGAGAACAATATCATGAATCATGGACGTAAAGCTGAGGTACTGATGTGTCATGTGAAAATTAGTACTGACGGTTGTCTTGATTGTAGTTGTTTTTCCATGGAATCCAATCCCAAAAGCTATAATCATCATATAGTCCTTTAAATCCGCACGTGTAATCATCAAATGAACAGGCAGTGTCAACGGGGAATCTTGGCTTTTGATTTGCTTCTAAAAAAAAAGAAGGGGAAAAAGTGAGAAAAAATATTTTATCTTTGATTAAAAATTGCAAAATTAAAAGAATTTCAATCGAAATTCAGATGATACTCAAGAGCTATGATCTGTTTAATCTAATCTAATCTAATCTACAGCGATGACATCTTCAACCATGAGCATAACATATCACTGGTCGCACATAGCAAAGAGGAATTTTTACTTTTAACATAAGATATATTACTTTCAAAGAATGTTGAAGCCATAATTTATACCGACAGCCCATCAGTTTGAAAATATGTTTCTGATTTAACTGTCAAAGTTTAGATTCTCATTCGACCAAAGGATTCGATAATGACTAATTCAAACTTTAACGTAAAATCCAAGTAAAAAAAAAGAGAAAAAAAATCAAAAGTCAGAAAACTAAGCATGGTTTTGAATTTGGCGTAAAATTTCGGTCGAGAATCATGCGTAAATAATAGTGCGGAGCGGTTAGGCTCTGCGAGAAAAAAAGCGATTGCAGAGAAAGGAAATCTCATTTGGTCGCACCCACCACACCTTGTCAACCTTTCAGAAGCATGACATTTTACATTTAGTCAACTTCATACACAATAAGGGGCCACGCCCTTTGGCCGTCGCGAGGCCCATCCCACCGGGGCGCATCGAGCCCCTTTAGGTCTGCTCCGCGGACTCTTCGTGGGTTAATCTAAATAGAAACAATTTATCTAGAGACTATGTCCGGTACACGGACATTACGTCCACAGACTTTTCGTCCATAATTTTTACGTCCACAGTTCTAAAGCCCACACTATTGTTAAGCTCATTACTTAAACGTCCACTAAGTTAAGTCCACAAAGTTCAATGTTCATGACTTGATTCATGAATGAAGTGTTTTTAAGAATGAAGGTAGTAGTAGTGTGCATTTATTTTTTGAGGTGGTTCCTATGAGAAGAAAAAATGTGGACATGCATAACATGTCCACAATTTGGACAATTTTGGACGTATTCATGGTTGGTCATTGTGTCATGGTTGTATGTAAACCAATTTCCATTTCCATTTTTCATGCCAATTTCCATGCAAACCATGATCATTGGTCTCATGTGGACTTAATAAAGACTGGACTTAACGTTTAGTGGACATAAATAGCGGTGGACATAAAGTCCTGGAAGCACAAGTCCTATCGATAGCCAAAAAAATTTCCAAAAATATGAAAAGAAATGGAATATACATTATACAAGCATTAATAACATTCTCAGGATCACTGAGGGATTCAATGGTAATTATTTACTTTACGACGACAAAAGAAACATATTTATAAAGAATGATTCACGAAGGATAATTGTCTCAGGATTATCGAGGAAGTCAATAGTAATTTTACTTTACTCTTCGAAGTAAAACAATTTTAAGGTGATTCGATGGACGTTATTGTTGTCATGGGACTAAAGAATTCATGTACCAAATTTGACAAATAAATTCAACGTAATAAAGGCGTGGTTTTTTTTAGAGGAAAAACTTCTCATTAGATACTGATATCGAAACTGCACTCGAATGCGATATTTTTCCTCTGAAAAACCCCTGCCTTTATTACGTTGAATTTCTTTGTCAAATTTGGTACATGAATTCTTTAGTCTTATGAAAACGGAAGTGCGATCACAAAATTCGACAAAAATGACAAGTAGCTGAGATTAAGGAAGGAATTGATGCGATGTATCGCAAGTCGATCTCACACAAAAAATGGCAACCGTCAAATCACCTTAAACACAATCAAACAGTAAAACTTTTTTTTTTTGTATAAGAAAAGTACCTCACGAATTACCGAAGTGTTTAGTGGAATCACATACGTAAGAGACAAAAGTAGAAAGATAAGACCGGAAAAAAACTTAGCTAAACCACCCAAAACACAGAAGAATTTGTCGCCAAGTCGCGGAGAAAACTGGCCTGAACTGGTCGGAAAACTGAAAATGGTCGAAAGAAAAAGTGGGGAAAAGGCGTATGGGAAAGCGGTGAAAAGTCGGAATGGAAAGCAGAGGTGGAATAAGAGGTGTGTATGAGAAGGGGTGGCGGATTGAGATGGCGCTGAGTGCGCATGCGCAGTGGCGTGGCGTGAATTGCGATGTATCGATTGTTATGCCATTTAAACCTATGTCGAAGAATCGATTATTAAGGTGTTCGCTGCGAACACCCTGTTTATCGATCCTTTTCCATTGGTTTAAATGACGTAACAATCGATAAATCGCAAAGCACGCCACGCCGCTAGTAATGCTGTAGAAGTGATAGCGGATATGCGCAGCGTTAGGTTGTTACGCGTTCCGGCTTACGATCTTACATTATAGAGAATGATACGATCTAAAGTAACTTACCGTCACACCGGTACAAGTCCCGAATTCTTGCCACATCACTTTCGCTCAGTATTTCATTAAGGGAGTCTTTTAATCGTACCTTTGTCATTTTGGATGTAATGGTTTCCTCGTAACCTGGCTAAACGGTAAAAAATCGGAAATATGTTTCATGTAAATTCAATAATTCCTTCGATATGCAGAGTTATAGAGCATGTCGATAAACTCATCCCTTCTATCTCTCTTTTCCCAGCATCTCTCATGTCTCAATGTAAGGCGTGTTTCAGACCCCGATGGATTGGGGTATGAGCGAACTCATTTTTGACACTACAATGGGTGACACAACAAAAGAAAAGAAGAAAAAAGCATGTCGATGGCAAAAGTAAAACAAGCAGGAAGCTCCAACGCATTGGCGTCGGAGAGCGGCTCTGGGGGCAGTAGTTGTAGTCAAGAATGAGGGCCTAGACACATTTTGTCATTGATGTACAATCCGACAACTGTCGATTCATGTTTTGTAACTTAGCAGATTTACGTAGCCGGTGTATAAATGTGTATTGGGCTTTGATATGGCGAATACATGGCATTATCACTTGTTGT